CACAAAAATAAATATAGAAAATGATAACGTTATTAAAGATAAGTTGGCTGAACTTGAAGATAGGAGTTGCAGAAATAATTTGAGATTTAATGGTATAGAAGAAAAAGAAATTGAAACCTGGCAAGAAACTGAAAGTAAAATAAGAGAAATTTTAAAAACTAAATTGGGTTTAAATGGTAATATCGAAATTGAGAGAGCCCATAGAGTTGGTAAAAAAGTGATGGGTATTAAAGGAATAAATAGAACTATTGTTGTAAAATTTTTAAGCTATAAAGACAAGAACGCGATTTTGGATAAGTTCGTAAAGGCAAAACTCTGGAATGAAAATTTGTTTATAAATGAAGATTTTAGCGAACGTACTATGGAAATAAGAAGAAAGTTATTCGCGGAAGCAAAGGAGCTTCGAAGTAAAGGAAAGTATGCTAAGGTTACTTATAATAAATTATTCAAACGCAATTTTAAGTAATTTTTTTTTTTTTTTTTTATCAATTCATAGTTATAAAATTATTTAAATTCTGAAATGGATTCAAACCAACTAAATTTTGAGTTAATTTCATTTAACTTTTTTCAAATTAATGATTTTTTACTTGATAATAAATCCGATCCTGACATAAATTATTTTAGTGAAGCAAGTGCTCTGCAAAACTGCTCTTATTTTTATAACAATGAATTGAAAGATTTTCTAAATAGGGATTTTCTTAATGTTATTCATTTTAATATAAGAAGTTAAAAAAAAAACTTTGATACTTTTCATAGTAATATAGAAGAAACTTCTAATATTTTTAACATAATATGCATTACAGAGACATGGTGCAGTTCTGATGATGTTAAAAACTCAAATCTCCACCTTCCAGGTTTTAATTTAATTTCTTTAGCGCGTAAAAATAAAAAGCAAGGTGGTGGTATTCTTTTTTACGTGAATGAATACTTGCGGTTTATTAACAGGCCAGACTTAAGTATTTCTGACGGCGATAAAGAGGTTTTAAGTATTGAAATTTTAACTAAAAATGCAAAAAATATAATTTTAAGTTGTTTTTATCGCCCACCAAATGGAGTAATTGAGGATTTTAATGCCTTTTTACATAATGATATAATTAAAAAAAGTTCACATGAAAAGAAATTAAACTACATAATTGGTGATTTTAATTTAAACTGTTTTGAATACCACACTAATAATAACATTAAAAAGTTTTACAATGACATTTTCGAAACTGTAGCGATACCGTTAATAAATAAGCCTACCAAAATATCATCAACATCAGCCTCTATATTAGATAATATAATTATAACTGACGTTTTTAACTTATCTTTAAAAAAAGGCATTATTAAAAGTGACGTCTCTGATCACTTTCCCATTTTTTTCTCCATAAACACAAACATCAAAAAAACTCTACACCATAATAAACCTTTCATCAAACGTTTTTTTACGGAAGCGAATTGCTTTGCTTTTAAGGAACAATTATCTTTACTTCATTGGAAACATATAGATTCTAATGATGCTAATATAGCTTATAATTTGTTTTTACAAACATTTTTTGAAATTTATGATATTAATTTTCCTAAACATAAAATACTAAAAAAAAATAAAGATTTCACCTCACCATGGATTACAAAAGATCTCAGAAAAAGTTCTAAAGTTAAGCAAAAAGTTGTATATAAAGTATTTAAAAACGAGAACATTAGAAAGTAAAACAATTTATAAGAATTACGCTAAAAAATTTGAAATGCAAAGAAAAAATTTAAAAAAAAGATACTACATTAATTTACTAGAAAAATATAAAGATAATTCAAAGCAAACATGGCAAGTTTTAAGAGAAATTACAGGCAGTAAGAAATTGAAAGCTAGCTCTTTACCTAAAGCTATTAAAATTGATAATAAAATATTTGATGATCCAGGAGTGGTAGCTAATAAAATGAATGAATTCTTTACTTCAGTTGGACCAAATTTAGCAAAAAAAATTTCAAACATAAACAAAACAATAAAAAGATGTAGTTTTCCTTTAATATCTTATCTAAATTCTTTTGAATTGTGTTTTGATGAATTTGATAGAGCTTTTAAAATGCTAAAGTTAAATATAGCAGTCGGTCCTGATGATATCAATGGAAACATTGTCATTGATTCATATGATATCATAAAAAATATCCTTTTTAAAATATTTAAATGCTCAATTCAACAAGGAATTTTTCCTGATGAATTAAAAATAGCTAGAGTTTCACCAATATTTAAAGGTGGAGACTTACTTAATGTTTGTAATTACCGCCCAATATCTGTTCTCTCTGTTTTCTCAAAGATTATAGAGAGAATTCTTTATAATAAAATTTTTAATCATCTTTCTCAAAATAATATTCTATACAAAAATCAATATGGGTTTAAAAAAAATAACTCCACTGAACACGCTATACTCCAAATAACACAATATATTACTGAATCATTTGAAAGTTTCAAATTTACTTTAGGCATTTTTATTGACTTGTCTAAAGCCTTTGATACGATAGATCATAAAATTCTCTTTAAAAAACTTAAATATTATGGAATCTCTGGCAATGTTTTGAAGCTTTTAAAAAGTTATTTAAGTAATAGAAAGCAAATTGTTCACTATGACGTATCATCAAAATCAAACTTGTTAGATGTAACATGCGGAGTTCCTCAAGGGTCTGTCTTAGGACCTCTCCTATTTCTCATTTACATAAACGACCTTAATGAAGCATCTAATTTAATGACAATTATGTTTGCTGACGACACGAATTTTTTTCTATCTCATGGTAACATAATTACCCTATTTCAAAGTATGAACATAGAATTAATTAAAATTTCAGAATGGTTTAAATTAAATAAGCTTTCTCTTAACATTGAAAAAACAAAATGGTCTCTTTTTCATCCATACTACAAGAAACATCTTCTACCAAGTGAATTGCCTGCTCTTTTTATAGATGACATTCAAATTAAAAGAGTAACGGCTACAAATTTTTTAGGGGTTTTTATTGATGAAAATCTGACATGGAAAAAACATATTGAAAACTTATCCTCTAAAATTTCCAAAAGTATAGGAATACTATTTAAATTAAGAACCATGCTAAATAAACATACTTTAATTCAGCTTTACCACTCTTTCATTCATTGCCTTCTAAACTATGCTAATGCGGCTTGGGGTAGTGTAAGGAAAACTAAATTAGAACCACTTTATCGCCAACAGAAACATGTTGCACGACTTATTAATTTTAAACATCGATTTTATCATGCTAAGCCTTTTTTAAACGAAATGAATATTCTTAATATATATCAACTTAATATTTTTAATGTATTGTGTTTTATGTTTAAATGTAAGTCTCGCACATCTCTAATTTCTTTTCACAATTTATATTCTTTAAAAGTTAAAAATAAATACAATTTGCGTAATGAAAATTTTATTCTTCAACCAGTTTTCAAAACTAATTTTGGTAAATTTTGTATTTCATTTAGAGGAGCATTTTTATGGAACAAAATAGTGTTAAAACTTTTTGATCTCTCTCTTGAATGGAACTTTTTCTTATTTAAAAGAAAATTAAAAGAAATTCTTTTCTCAGTTGAAAACATTCTGATATATTTTTAAGTTTGTTTTGTTTTTTATTAATACTCTTAAGAAATATTTTATTTTAATTTATATATACGAAATCTTTTATCTTAACTTATATATAAATGTATGTATATGTATATGTGTGTGTGTGTATATGTGTATGTATGTATGTGTATATGTGTGTATATATATATATGTATATATGTATATATATATATATATATATATATATATATATATATATATATATGCATGTGTGTATGTATATTTATGTATGTACGTATATATGTATGTGTATTTGTGCGTATTATATGTATGTGTATATATATATATATATATATATATATATATATATATATATATATATATATATATATATATATATATATATATATATATTGATGTGTAAGTATATTTATTTACATGTTTGTATGTTTAAATATGTATAAATAATTATATTTGTATTTATGTGTGAATATTTGTCTATGAATTATTAAAGGATTATTTTTTATTTAAAAACTTTTTAGGCGGTTCTCGATGACAAGATCTTATGATCTTCTGCGAGTATCCGCGTTCTTGTTGTAACGTTAACAAAATTGTAATTCTGACTATACGTATTTTATTCATTCTTATATTGTAAAACTTATTTTGAATAAATAAAAAGAACAAAAAAAAAAAATAAAAATAAAAAAAAAAAAAAAAAGTATCCATTTTAATGTAAAATCTGTTCTCGAACATGCTACTATTTGGATGTATATATATATATATATATATATATATTATATATATATATATATATATATATATATATATATATATATATATATATATATATATATATATATATATATATATATATATATATATATATACAGTTAAATAATAAATATAATATTTCAGAAATACAAACTTTGTTTCTTGTTATCATTAATCGTATTTAATTTGTAATTAGTAATACTATTTATAATCTAATAGCATTTAATAACAGTAAAGCTACTGTGTATATATATATATATATATATATATATATATATTATATATATATATATATATATATATATATATATATATATATATATATATATATATATATATATATATATATATATATATATATATATATATATATATATATATATATTGACCTTATATATTAAGTTATATTTATTTATTATTATTTTTTTTTTTGAAATTCACCTCCTCAAGGCCGAGAAGGCCATTACAGTCGAGGAGGCTACTTAATTGTGGTTATAACCCTCTCTCAACACTATAACTCCGAAACTCGAACCTTGACGAGCAAGGCCGTTGCGCGGAGAAACAAGTTGAGCGCAGTACTCCCAGGGACGCGGTGGGGATCAAACTTGGAACTTCTCGCTTATGAAGCGAGTGCTTTACCACTACACCACTACCGCATTTAGTTATAATTATCAACTATACAAAAACAACCTTGTCTATAATTCATATTGGTTAGTAAATTGCTACAGTTTTCACGTAAAACTCTGCTAATTGATTGGTATGATTTCCATAAGTTTCCTTTCTTATTCATATAATATAATATAACTGGAATGTCAATAGTGTATGATCCACAAACCAAACAGGTGGTAGTAATAACTGAAATGTTTATACTCTGAGAGAACCCAACTGGTAATAATTGTGGAACCTTAAATAAATTTAATTCGTAAAAACTTTTGAATATGCACTTTTATGTATATAAGTTTATATATATTTATAAATAAGCAACTATATATATATATATATATATATATATATATATATATATATATATATATATATATATATATATATATATATATATATATATATATATATATATATATGTATATATATGTATATATATATATATATATATATATATATACATATATATATATATATATATATATACATATATATATATATATATATATATATATATATATATATATATATATATATATATATATATATATATATATATATATATATATATATATATATATACATACATATATTGATAATAATAATAGTAATAATAAAAATATATATATATATATACATATATATATATATATATATATATATATATATATATATATATATATATATATATATATATATATATATATACATATATTGATAATAATAATAGTAATAATAAAAATATTTATAATAGCAATAAAAGTACCAATTAAAGTAACAACAATAATAATAATAATAATAATAATAATATTAAAAATTGGGAAAATATTTAATAATTACGTTAACTTTGAATTTGTTTCCTTATTAAATGGTTTTTGATTAAATGGCAGAAAATTATTCCATTTAAACATTGACCTTGGAGCTAAAAAAATAAGTATGCCACATTTTGGCATACTTTTTTTTTTTGCCTTTAATGTTGCACTTTATAGAATAGCAGGTCGGACTTATTATTATTTTTCTTTAATAAATTTTAGACAATCCGAAGCTCATTATGAATATTTAATATATTTACTTATGCGAAACATATTTCTCCTGGTGTTTTGATTCTATAGAAATTTGAAGTGTTTTTAAAAATTTATTCCCTATTGTTTGATTTTTTTTATAACTTTTTTTTTTAATTTAAAATATGTTTAACATTATAAGATTGAATGAAATACATATAATACATATAGTCGAAATACAAACTTTGTTGACATTAAAATAAGAACGCGGATACTCTGTGCTAGTTGATTCCAATGATTTGGTTATAACTTTTTTGATAATTTTAGGAAATTTTTTGTTTGAGAAACTTTCCTGTTAAAACTACAATTTATATGTAACCACTCCTTTTTTGTTGCATAGTACCACATTCAAAGAATTTTTAACACGTTATATAATTTGAGTATGTCAATACAACCGCAATAGATTAATCCTAAGTCTAGCTTGTTTAAAAACAGCAAACATTCACTAACTTAAAAAAAAAACGCCACCACCACCACCTTGCTTTTTATTTTTACGCGCCAAAGAATTTAAATTAAAACCTTGAAGGTGGAGATTTGAATTATTTAACATCATCAGTGCTGCACACTGTAAAGTATATTTTATTAAAAATTAGAAGTTTCTTTTTTTAATACTATGTCTTTTTTTAATACTATAAAATCCCCTTAAAGAAAATCTTTCAAATAAATAAGAGCAGTTTGTAGAGCACCTGCTTTACAAAAATAATTTATGTCAGAATCGAATTCATTATCAAGTAAAAAATCATTAGTTTAAAAATTTTAAATGAAAATGACTCTAAACTTTCACTCAAGAGTTTTGCCTTTACAAACTTTTGCGAAATCAAGATCTTGTCTTTATTGATTAAAAATTTTACAGCAGTAGTTCTTTTTTTTTCTTCTATCATCCAACTTTTTTTTTTCTAACTCTATTCCAGCTCTCTCAATTTTAATATTGCCATTTAAACGCATTTTAGTTTTTACATGTTCTTTTATTTGACTTTCAGCTTCTTGCCAGGTTTCAATTTTCTTTTCTTCTATTCCATTTTATCTCAAATTATTTCGGCCACTTTTATTTTTAAGTTCAGTCAACTTATTTTTAATAACATTATCATTTTTAAATCTTTTTATTTTTTTATTTTTCACTTAGTATGCTGATGATTTTGCTGCTTTTTTTGAAACATCTATTTCCGATAGTAAATTTTAATATTTGTTACTGACAAATTTAACACTTTTTTATTTAGTTTTTTTAAATTTTTATTTTCTTCTTGCATAACTGATTTCCTCTTGCGTAACTGATAATTATCAATCCTTTTGCTAAATAGTTTCATTATTGTGTTTTCGTGAGTATAGATAACTTCTTGTAATTGAGCAATTATTAGTAAACACGTTCTCTCTCTAGAGTGTTCGCGGTAGAAAAAAAGTAATATCTTTATATATGTTATGTATATATTTTCAATAAAACTTCAAAACTGCTTTATTTTATTTTTTGAAAAAATAAAAAAAAAAAACTTTGAAAAAAAAGGAGGGTCTATTAGAAGAATTCAAAAAGTGAAGCTTTGGTTCTAAATTTACGCGAGCTAATTTTTTGATACTAATACAAAAACTGGAACTACTTCTATTGCAGCTGCAGGCTTTACAAATGCAAGTTATAGGCCTTTAGATACAAGTATTATTCCTCAGAGTTAATTTTTTGCATGCAATAATGACTTACCTTTGATGGCAAATTCAATTTTAGGAAGTCATTAAAATGTTACTTTTGATAATGGCTGTGTTTCAGGACGCAATAGAACATTTAAATACACCTCTTAATCTCATTTGATGATATTGTTTCTATATTCAAGTTAAAATGCAACGAAAAAAATAGTGTAGAGGGTTGCATTTAAAATTTACTGAAAAAGAAAAAATAATGTTTGTAAATCAAAATAACAATTAACCGATGACTAAAAAAACTGTAAATTATATGAATTGGCACATATGAACAGGCTAAAGGGAATAAATTTAAAAAAAAACTAATGTTCAAACATAAAAACTAAACGAAAACGAAATTTTGGAGCACTTAGGAATAGTTACAGTAAAAGGATAAGACTTTATTAAATGACGAGTAAAAGAGATCGATATTTAGTAAATGTCGCAAAAATCTAGTTACTAGCTATTTTTTTTTTTTTTTTTTTTTTTTTGTTTTAACAATCAACTAGGTTAGTCCTTAAGAGTAAAACCCTAATAGTATTTATAAAAAGATGAAAGAGTAGCAACATTACAAAATATGACGTTAATGTGTTGTTAATATGGGTGTGTTTTTTATTTTTGAAAGAATAATGTCTAAACGTGTTTAAACAGCTGATAGATTCATTTCTTCATTTTTAAAGCTTTTCTATTAAAAAATAACTGGTGCATTTTAAATATCCCGTTTTTCCCCACCCACCTGCCAAATTTAAAAACTCGCTGCTTAAGGACTTGGTTGTGTTGGTTGTCGTAGCTTGATTTTTTATAACTTTTCTTTATTTTTTCTTTTTCTTTTATTAATAAACTTTAAACAGTCAGTAAAAAACATTCTTTGTAATTGTTGTTTATAAATGTTGTATATAATGTGTATTCTTTGTTCTATTCTATAGAACAATATAGAATATAAACAACAACTGTAAACAACAATTAGGAATCAAGTATCTTTTGAGTGTTTCTGTTTATTATATCATTGGCTAAATTTTAATGGCAATAGTTAAAATAAAAAGCAATTTTTTTGTTTTTTAATTTTTAATACTGAAATTAAGAAAATATTTACAAGAAGTCAATTCAGCTTAGCATAAGTTTTACAGGTTGCTATGAATGACAGGAGCAGGGTTAGTTTTTCAATAATAAATACATCATTAACTTTATGTCGTACCTTTGCAACAAATACGGCGACTTTTTTATTCAAAATATTTATTTATTAATCGTACCTTTAACTAGGTTATTTCAAAAACATTTTGGAGAAGTAGCAACAGCGCTAGGCTTACTTATTAAAATAAGATAACTAATATTTCTATTTCGGAATCAAGTTTACATGTATTTTGCTTTAAATATCTTGAACTGTAAATCCACTAGCGCAATGGTTAACATCGTTAGATTTGCTACTTTATTAGGTTTTCATCAAGTTCACCATGTAAAAAAAAATTTATGACTGTATAGGGAACCAAAAAAAAATTATAAATGACTATTTAGTTTTTCACATAAAATTTTTTTTTTTGCAAATTATATAAAGGTCGCTTCTGGAATCATTAAATGTAAAACTGCGACGAAAATCATGGTTGATAAAGTGACATTTTGCATTCAAAAAAATTAGGAGCAAAGTTGTGTAAATTTGTGGTTAAATTCTTAATTACCTTTTGAGGCAATGAACCCTATTCTCTCTGCAGAACTCCATTAAAATTATTTTGAATATCACTTTCCTGTTGGGGTATCTTGCGGTTAAGATTAGAGATTTAAGGCGGCTATGATAACCAATAAATTTGATAATCTTTTGAAAAAGTTTGGTACACAACGCAGTTTTTGAAAGATTATTAGAATCTTATTAAAATACGAGGTTTGACATTTTACATTAATGAGCAATTGGTAGTGATAAATTATTTTTTTATATAAACACAGCCTTGAGCAGTTAAGTAATCATTAATATATTGTTAATTAAATATACTTTTATTAGCCATATTTATCGTATGTTTTAAAACAATACTTTGGTCTACTTTCGCTGACCATTTCTACATCATTTTAAGACGTTTTTTGGTTTTCAATTCAAATTTACTTTTTTTCGACGCAAAATCTCTTTTCCTAAAATGTCTATGTTTATCTATACAAGCTATACCTGTTTATCTATACCTACACTAGCAAACCTATGTAGATCAGCAGCTGTGCTCTATGAAAGAGTTGGATTTTTCCCAGAAATAAAACAACTTAGTTTGGCATACATTGAATCTAGATTTGATTTAGACAACATTATTGTTTAGTTTAAGTCATCATGCAGATCTCGAGCTAAATAACAGGCCTTTTCTTTGTCTCAAACAAAACTATTTAGTCTCAACAAGGTGCTTTCTTTAGTTTCCTGCCATCTTGATGCAAAGATATTATAGTTCTAATGCTTATAGTGTTATTGCTGTTTTTTAATCTGGTTTTAAGTTCATAAAAATCTCCAAGGGACTCAAAGACGTGAAAAAGACGTCTATAAAAAAGAGGTCGAAAAAACGTTAATCGGTTGTACGTCGTTATTAAGACGTAGAAAAGTCGTCTTTTATATCGATGACCTTTCAAAAAAAGAAGTGAGAAAATTTTCATTTAAATGTTAAATTAAATAATACCCAAAAAAAATATTTTTTTTAAGAAAGGGAGATGGGAAAACTCACTAACATTTCCCACTGGGAAATAACTTAAGTTGTTAATAAGCAAATCATAACTCTCCTATTAAAATATTAATAAACAAATCATTTTATACTTATTAACAACTTTCGTTGTAATAAGTATATAAAAATTTGTACTATGTTATCTTATTATTTGAAATAGTGTTGTTATAGTCTTTACTTATAAAATAAAAACTGTAAACAATCTATGTCTGTATTTACTTGTTCAAGTGCCAATGAAGCGAACGATAAAAAATGAGAAGCATTCAGTAGGCATGCAATTTTTTTATATAAATTTTTAAATGATCTGAATAATTTTATTTAGTTGAATGATGAAATTGTTTATACAAAAGATTGGCTCTTTAACTTTTATGTTAAAGTTGTTATTTCCTTGTTAACTGTTGTCGATCGTTAAAAAAGCAAGTAAAAAAAAGCACATAATGCAACAGATTTTTCTTTAGAACTAATTGTAAAACTTTTGGTTTGGATACAAAAGACCAAGTGAAAAAGATACTAAAAAGGTACACTTACTTATATCTAAACATTATTGCAGCTTTCTTATCTTCATTTTTGATTATGTGTGTTTCTAATGTGTTTGCTAATGATATCGCCAGTTTTTATAAACTATTTGGCATTTTATAAAAACTTCTTTGTAATATTTTGCTTTTTTCTTAATTTTTTAATTTTCATTTTAGTTACCATGTATTTATATAAATGTCTTGACAAACAAGGGACTTGGTGATAAGACAACTCCGTCTTCTTCTCGTCCTTGCCATTTTTAAATATTTTTAATTACGGAACTTGTAAATATTTGTACGGCTAAATTATAAATAAAAAAAAAAAAAAAAAAAAAAAAAAAAAAAAAAAAATAATTGTATGTCGTTAAGTATAGCATCATTATGTTTCAGGCTAAAGTAAAGCTTCGATTAATACTTTTATCCAGTTTAAATGAATAACAACTCTCAAGGTGTATTAGCTGAATTATCTTTTCGTTTTGATAGTCTTTAGTCAATAAAGGATTTTTAAACTGTTATGAGTCTACAACACCTAATTTCAGCGAAATTCAATTAAAAAGTCACGTCATAGAAGATAGAAAATATCAATATCTGTTTTTAATAGCTTTGCTTTCAAAAAAAGCAAATTTGAGAGGTGCAAATGTTTAGCTTGGTTTAAGTAATACATAATAAAATACGTCGTTAAACAGTCATTTTAATGGTCGTAAATTTTATTAGCATACTCATTTTTATATATTTTTAGACTGTTTACTCAAGTCCCATTCTAAACTAGTCGGTTCAAAATGAAAGGACAGCGCTGGAAACCTAAGGGGGTTAAAAAGATATGCTTATTTTGAATTAATAGTCGGTCAGTCTAATGTGTTTCACTCCGTTAATCAAGTTTCATTTGCTTTTTTGTATTACATTCAAGCAATAGACTGTTTTTTATGTTTACTCGTTTTTTAGAAATCGTAGCATACTCATATGAAAGGATTTCTCTACGTGAAATAGTTAATTTTATTTTACAACGTTAAGAAACAGAGCTCGCTCAAGAAACAGAAAAGAAAGAAAAAGATGAAAAAATATTCTGTTAAAAAACGCTGTTGTTTTATTTTTAAATTAATCTCCTATATTTAAACATATAAAATATGTAGAAAATGCTTTCTCTTTTATATTGACATCAAAAAGAGGTTTTTTTCTCGGCATCGGAAAGAGCTTATTGTCATATTTTGTATGAAGAGCAATTATCATTTTCATTTGATAAAAATACCTTTTGATATATCAAAAGTAGGAATAATATGTGTATAGGATACTATAGTATACTAAAAAGTATGAAAAAAAGTCGTTCCTACCCCGAGAAAAAACACTTTTTTAGAAGTGCATAAATGATAAACAAAGACGTTTTAAGGACAAAATTTGTATGTCTTTTTATGACTATATAAAGACATTTTCGATGTCAAAAAAAGATTTCTTTAGGATTTACATATTCGATTAAAAAAAGACGTCTTAAAGGTATCGTATATAAGTCTTTGAGAGACGTCATTTCGACGTCTTTTTTCGACGTCTTGTTTTATTTTGAGTTTTTTGTTTATTTATAAGACAAAGAATTTATAATAAGTCTTTAAAAAAACTCTATCAAAATACTTATTGTATTTATAGTTTGAATATCCCCGAAACTATTTTTCTAAGCGTATGTAAGGGGTTAAAAGTTCTTACAAAACTTTGTATATTGATTGCAATTGTGTTTAACATTCAATGTTAATATAACTATACGGTTATATTCATTTAAAAATCATTATACAAAACCGCGTATAAACGGTATATATATATATATATATATATATATACATATATATATATATATATATATATATATATATATATATATATATATATATATATATATATATATATATATATATATATATATATATATACATATATATATATATATATATATATATATATATATATATATATATATATATATATATATATATATATATATATATATATATATATATATATATATATGTATATATATATATATATATATATGTATATATATATATATATATATATATATATATATATATATATATATATATATATATATATATATATATATATATATATATATATACTCAGCGGGCATTAACCGACACATAATTAAAGACACTTAATAAAACCGACACTTAATAAAAGTGTATTTAAAAAATTTAAAATAAGCGCTTTAATCTTTTTAAAGCATAGATTTATTAAAAGTTTAATAAATATTAAAAAAATGGAAGTGCAATAGTCAATATTGTAAAACACTTAATTGACGTTTATTAAAAGATATATATTTTTATGCTAAATCATTACGGATTTATGATCGTTATTCTGTAATGGTTTATGACACCTAATATTTTAAACATTTAATCGACGTAGACATTAATATGCGTGCTAGGTTGATTCAAATCACCTCAGTTTTGTCGCTAATCGTTTTTTTACATTAACTGATTAACTTTTGACTTATTCTAGACGTCAACATTTAATGGGTATAAGTAAGTATTAACAAATGTACTGTTTCAAAAAAATGAATATTTATTTATTATCAAAGGTCCACTGACATTTAAAAGACAGGGTCAATATAGTCATAAAAAAATAAAAAATCATACCATGTATTTGTTAGAAGTAATATTTACAGCGTTAACTGATGAGTAAACAGATTCTAGCTTTAGGAAAGGTGGTAAAAGGTATTCCCAAGTAATGTTTATAACATGTTCCTCTGCATTGCTATATTGTGTGTCAAGACTTATGTTCAGAAATTTTCTAAATCATTATACAAATAATAAATAAAAATCAATAGCTAAATAAAAAAATATCATAATACTTCTCTAAAATAAAACCTCGCGAGTTTCATTTTGTACAAAATAAGTAGATTATTATTAACTTATAAAATTTCATTACTTATATCAAGTCAATGATATAATATTGTCTTATATTAGACAATTTATGAAATATTATAACTGATTTCAAGCCAAGACTAGCATGGTTTAATATTCAGTACTAATGAGTATTAATCTTGTTGTTCATATATATATATATATATATATATATATATATATATATATATATATATATATATATATATATATATATATATATATATATATATATATATATATATATATATATATATATATATATATATATATATATATATATATATATATATATATATATATATATAATATATATATATATATATATATATATATATATATATATATATATATATATATATATATATATATATATATATATATATATATATATCCCAGTAAGCACAAGACGCATTTTAGACGCTTATAGACGTCTAAAACTAGTCTAGGTAAAGACGCACTTTTATAGACGTTTTAAAGACAACTTTTAGACGTCTTTTTCATATGTTTTTTTAAAATGACGTTTAAAAGGCGTCTTTTTTAAAGATAAAAAGACGTCTAGAAGACGTCAATTTTTAAGACATTTTCTAGACGTCTTTTATAAAGGCGTTTTTAAAATGACGTTTTAAAGGCGTCTATTTAAGCGTTAAAAAAACGTCTAGAAGATATCTTTTTCTAAGACATCTTCTAGACGTCTTTAATAAATGCGATTTTAACATGACGTTTAAAATGCGTCTTTTAAAGGTTTAAAAATACGTTTAAAAGACGCGTAATAAATAGTTTAAAATACGCATTTAAAGACGTCTAGATCAAAGTTAAAAGACGTCTTTTCTGAGACCTGTTTATAAATATGTCATTATGACTCCTTTTGACGGCTTTGTCATTACGCGTTAAGTAGATGTCGTATATTCAAAGTAAAAACAAAGTTTTTATTATTTTCAATAATTTGTTCAAGTTTTAAGTGTAAATTACTTTAAATTAAATTACTTTTTTACACAATTGCTAAAATTGTTGTCACAGGAATCACTAAAATAATTGCTATTATAATAATATATCTTTTTTTTATTAACAATTATTTTTTTTTTTTAATAGGTAGTTGACTGATCATGATAATAAGTGAAAATGGCAAGAATAATATATAAGTTAAATATCAGTACTTTTAGTTTTTATACACCCACAAGCCATATAATAAGTCAAGTATGCGGTCAAAAATTAGCCCGCTATACGTAAGTTAAATTTTACTATAACTAAAGATAAGTTATAAATGTTTTAAATACTGTTTTGATATATATTTGTTATTGTTATTTATTATTTTCATCTTTGATCCATCAACCGTTGGTAGTGATTACAGCAATATTACTGTGATTGCTGGTTCCTATGTATATATTGTATATACGAAATTATAACAATATATGATGTTATAAATACAATGAATATATACCACATACTACGCGAAAATGTTACGTCATGTACTTAAATTTATCTTGAAAAAAACGTCTAAAATACGTCTAAAACGCGTTTCTATAAAGACGTCTTCATTTAGACGTCTTTTAGCCTTATGATCTACACCTTTTCAAGATGTAAATGAGAACATGAAAGTTGTAATTAAGAAGTCGTAATATGTAATTAAGAAACACAAAATGTAATTGAGAAAACGTTATATGTAATTGAGAAACACAACATGTAAATAAGAAGTCGTAACATGTAATTAAGAAACACAACATGTAATTGAGAAAACGTAAGATATAATTGAGAAATCATAATATGTAATTGAGAAATCGTAACTTGTAACTGAGAACACATAAATTAAAATAGCAAATTCACAGTCTAAGTTTGTAGGTTGTTACAAAAGGTCTTTTTGGACATGAATTTAAGTTATATCTTAAATTTTGCTTTTGTATGCACAAGTAATAAAAATGGAATTGAAAGATCGTTGTGTTATATGCTAATACACTATGACCCGAAAGTCTGTGATTAAGCTAAATCCGTGTCAACATTTATGTCACCAAATTTAATTACGTCCAGTTCTGGAACAACCAGATTCAAGTTGTCCGATTTGTCGGCATGAAATACACACAACTGAACAAGTTGAAAGGAAACGTTACGTTTTATCTTCTCCAAATGACAGGAGTAGAGTTGTTGAATGTGCGGAGCGATTTGAAGATTGGGTGAATCTCGCGCAAACGCTAGGTATCAAATATAAGACAGCATACAATTGGGTTCGCAGCGGAAATTCAAATTTCATCGGAAAAGGAGGTTTTAAACCAAAAAAGTTGACCGAAAATCAAATCGAAGAAACATTAACATGGATTGAAAATGATTGTCAATTAACATTGGTGGCCATCAAAACAAAGATATTAAGACAATTTAACATAAACGTTAGCACAACAACAATAGCAAATTACCTCGAAGGCAGATTGCTCTCATTAAAAAAAGTGCACAAGGAGCCTTCTACAATGAACAGTTATGAAAACAAACAAAAAAGAGCTGAATATGTTAGAAACATCAACGAACATATCACAAATGGTCGTCAGATAGTTTGGTTGAATGAAACAAATTTTAACCTTTTTTGTAGAAAAACGCAAGGACGCGCGAGACAAGGAAAAAGAGCAATTGTGAAAGTACCTGCTTCAAAAGGTTTAAACATACACTTGATCGCAGCTATTTCAACTACAAATGTCGTCATGATAGAAACTCGCAGGGGATCATTTAAAGCAGATTCCTGTAACGAGTGGATGTTGGCTATGTTTCACCAGTGGGTTACATCCGGGAATCGTTTGGAGGATTTGGTCGTCGTAACAGATAATTCTCTTTGTCACGCTCGTTTGCAAAGGGTGTTTGATAATTCACCAGCTCAGTTGATACGTTTGGGACCTTACAGTCCAATGTTGAACCCGGTGGAAACGATCTGGTCCAAAATTAAAAGTAACGTTAAAAATGCAATTCACATTCCACCTGTATTAGGTGACGGGATTGCGGAACAGCGCATGCAGTACTTAGAACGAATTGTAATTGAGGCGAAAAATACTATAATGGGAGGAGATTGTGCACGTGCGGTACAACACACAACCACGCACTATGCAACTATTTTAAATATGGAAGACGTACAAGTTGGTGCTTAAATGATCAATGAAGTGATTTTTAATTATATAATTTTTAATTATAATTTTTAATTGAATTATAATTTTTTCTCTAAAATGTTTTTAGTGTTTATTATGTTAAATTCATTTGCCCAAAAATTATAAATTTTTCCCTAAATTTTTCCCTAAAAAATTAAATTTACGCTACAAATCTTGCGTCATTTTTAAGTGCGTCATTTTATACGCTCCATTTTTTTACGCGCCATTTTTTTTAAGCGCCATTTTACACTTACTCCTTTAAAGCGATATCTAAATTAAAATTTTCGTGTTCTCAATTACATCTTTCTATTTCTTAATTACAACTTACATTTTCTCAATTACATGTTACGATTCTTAATTACAACTTTCGTTTTCTAAATTACATCTTATGTTTCTTAATTACAACTTACGTTTTCTCAATTACATCTTACGTTTCTTAATTACAACTTTTGTTTTCTCAATTACATCTTACGATTCTTAATTACAATTTTTGTTTTCTCAATTACATCTTGAAAAGGTGTAGACGTCTACAAGTGCGCCTTTTAGACCTCCTTAAAGACATCTTTAAAACGTCTTTTAAACGTCTTTGTGCTTACTGGGATATATATATATATATATATATATATATATATATATATATATATATATATATATATATATATATATATATATATATATATATATATATATATATATATATATATATATATAATATATATATATATATGTATATATATATATATATATATATATATATATATATATATATATACTATATATATATATATATATATATATATATATATATATATATATATATATATATATATATATATATATATATATATATATATATATATATATGAGATATCTAATAAAAATATTAAAAAAAGGAAGAAATTAAAAAAAGAAACTTATATATATATAAGCTTATAAACTAGGTAATCAAAAAATTAAATCATGCTTTAATATTTTTTTTTTAATAAAAACAAAGTTAATATATCGTTATATATACATATAAAACATCTAAGTACAACAAAAAAAGGAGTAAATTAGAAGAAGAAACTTATATATATATGAAAGCATATATACTTGCTAATCAAAAAATATAAATGTGCTATAATAGTTTTTTTTTAGATAAAAATGTCTAAATCATAATTCACAAATATAATCCTTCTTAAGGAAAATTTCAAACATTTTTTTTCTTTCTAAAATGACTTCGTAACTATTTTGAGTATTGTTGAATGAATTCTAGAATAGATGTTTTTTTCCATGTTATTAATATTATTACTAGCTGACCCGTAAAAATACGGGTCTTTGTAAGTCTATTCCAAACCGACCTTTTTAATACTTTTTCTTAATATATCCTAGCTTTTCGAATCAGTAAAATACGCATCTTTATAGAACCTACTATTTCAATACATACCTATTCCATACCAATTATTTCTATATCTATTCCTTATTTACTTCAATACTTTTAAGTAAAATAATTTAGTTCTGAAAAACTAATTTAAGAGCCAAAAAAAAGATTAACTATAAAACGCTACGGAATCGCCCACAAGTTACGCAACGCTATATTTATTTTTCAAAAAGTAGAAGAGATCTGCAGTTCTTTAGGATGAGAATTTTCATTAAACTAAATGAACTATAGATTTTTTATTTAACATACGACTCTGCGAGGAAAAACTTAGATCATTTTTGTTTACTTCAATTGTGAAATTTAACGTTGAGTAATTTATGGACGATCCCTTATTTTAATGTTTAGAGA